GCACATTATCCTGATGCTTCTACTGTGCTTTCAAAGTTTTTACAAGGCGTATTCATATACAGTTGATTCTCGTTATTTGCAGATTCTGTATCTGTGAATTTCCCTAATTGCTAAAATTTATTTTTAACCCCAAAATCAATACTTGTGGTGCTTTCATGGTCATTCATGGACATGTGTGGAGAACAAAAAAGTCTGAGCCACTTGACAGTCAAATTCCCAGCTGAGGCAGAACAAGATGATGTCCTGCTTTCTTCCTTCAGCTCTCATACTGTAAACACACATACTTTTTGCATTTCAAAAACTGCCACTTTTTTTTGCACTTTTTGTGCTTTTTCTTGGTGATTTTACTGTTTACTTATGGTCTCCAGCATAGTGCTGGGTGCTGTCTAGTGCTCCTACACACAGACAAGTGTGATGTGCTCTACGGAGAAAACACTTGTATTAGAGAAGCTTTGTTGAGGCATGAGTTATAGTGCTTTTGTCTCTGCGTTCAATGTTAAAAAATTAACCCTGTCTATTAAAGTATTTTTTTTAACAGAAATACACTTATAACAAGGTCATGTATCAGTTGTTGACAAAAATGTTGTGATTAGAGGCTCACAGGAACCTAAACTTGAATATCCCCTGGGAACAAATGGCTCAGTATTTGCTAATTCAGTATTCCTAATAACCTTCTAGAAAATAAATACTACAAATAATGAGAATGAGAATCAACCATACCTACTGCATTTGACCGTTACAGGGCAAGAATTACTATCCCCATTGGAAAGACAAAGGGACTGAGGTTTACTGATTTGGCCAAAATCACAGAGCCTAAAAAGAAGCACATAACAATGACCAGAGCTCAGCTGTCCAGATCAGTGTTCTTCCACCAGATGGACAGGAAAGGGCAAGGAGGAAAAGAAAAAAATAGAGAGCTTAAGAAAATAGCTTTCATACCATGTTCGAAACAGTGAAACTACGATTAGATAACAAGAGTAAACCACTTTCAGGTTAAATCCCCATAAAAGGAAACCCCTGCTTGGATAGGCAGCCCAGTGTTATTAATTACAACAGCTGCAAGAGAGAAGAGCTTAGTTTGGTTTTACTTTCCTCCGCCTTTGCTTCTTTTGCTGTCTCTTCAAAGGCAATAAATACTTGTTAAATGAACATTTGCTTTCATTGGCTTTAGAATTCCATCCACTTCGGTGCTTCATTAAAAAAAAAAGATCACAACATTTTCACAGCATCAGATGTGATTTATAAAAACTGTTTCAGGGTTTAAGACATTTTATACATAATTTAATATGCATTTGAGAGACTACTACATGCAGGGGTGCTTTAAACCCTGCTAAAGACAGAAAATTCATCAAGAACTTTATAAAAGACCTAACTGATACTAAGCCCAAAATAAGTAAGATCTTTTCCCCAAACTTTAAAAATGGTATGAGTATTAACTGGCTCCTCCCTAAGTGTGCCTTACTTGAGTTCTAATATCCTATATTCATGAATACCAAAATGTTAGGTCTGTAAGCTATAAGTATATACTTTTATGTCTGCAAGACATAGAATACATTTTTAGACAGTATCATAACTATTTATTTTTTATTGAATCAGAAAATCTAGGGTTTTTTTAAAGGATTCAAATATGAATTCACATGATAGACAGTAATGGCCTTGGCTGTGCAGTCCAATCATGTACAGATTTGGGAAATCAGTAGTAGCTGTACAGCACATGTCCAGCTAACTGCAGTGGGTCCAGAGGGGGCCACCTGTGTGTCTGCCTCAAAGCATTTGCTCTCTCTCCATCCTCATTTCTTACTTTTATGAAATAGAAATAGCACTCACAATTTGAAAGCTTCCTTTAAATAATACAAACGTTATGACAGAGTTGAGAAAAGTGGTAGAGGAACTGTATAAGAAAACTTTTCTACCTGCAGAAGATTTGTCTAGGAAATGGCAAACTTAACTGTAAGGCTGACAAGTGACTAAGAATTGAGAGACTCGATGGGGTGCGGTGGCTCAGGCCTGTAATCCCCGCACCTTGGGAGGCCGAGGAGGGCGGATTACGAGGTCAGGAGTTCGAGACCCAGCCTGGCCAACATGGTGAAACCCCGTTTCTACTAAAAATACAAAAATTAGTGCAGCACACCAACATGGCACAAGTATACATATGTAACAAACCTGCACGTTATGCACATGTACCCTACAACTTAAAGTATAATAATAATAAATAAATTAAAAAAAAAAAATTAGCCAGGCGTAGTGGCTCGCTCCTGTAGTCCCAGCTACTAGGGAGGCTGAGGCAGAAGAATCGCTTGAATCTAGGAGGTGGAGGCTGCAGTGAGACAAGACTGCACCACTGCACTCCAGCCGGGGTGACAGAACGAGACTCTGTCTCTTTTAAAAAAAAAATCAATAAAATCAACCCATGACCAGCACGGATGTTAAAAAAAAAAAAAAAAAAAAAGAATTGAGAGACTCCACTAAAACAGACTCTCACTTGACTTAAATGAAGACTCCTTCCTGACCAATAAACAATGGGGTTTGCATTAACCAACTGTGTAGGAACTTAAAATTCATTCTGACTACCCAAGGTACAAACTTCAATGATCAACTGGCATAATCACAGTGAACTACCTCTCCTTAGCACATAAAACACATACATTGTCCCTGTCAGAGAATCATTTGGTGATACCGCTCACCTGTGTGAGTTTTCTTATATGGCATGTAAATAAATTGACTTGCATTTTTAATTAGTGTGGTGACTGTCTTTCACCAAATCTAAATAGTTGGCCTTATTATGTTGTTTTCATGCCTCTTTTTTGAAAAACACAGTTTAGTTCATCATTTGAAAATATCAGACAAAAAAAGGAATATGGAAAACTAAATTGTATCCCTAAATCCTGAAAGAATGATATAGAAAACTACAACAAAATAAGTCTCATGAACTTCTCAAAATTCTATAAATTATATTCTCACACAGAAAGGAATAACGGTGACAATAGGTTATAATAGAAAACCTATAATATAGTATAACTTATCATTAGAGTGATAGCACAATGTTAAATCTCTTTATCTGAAATTAGATAATGTTTAAGTAGAAGAAACCGGAATTTTAAATTTGTTTTCTCCGTTAATAATGCTGCCAGTTCTTCCTAGCTTTAAACCCCCTGGCCTAAATTCCACTTGCTTGACTTGTACATATATGTTAATATCCTGAACAAATGTCATCTCTTCCATTGTGTTTCCTGACCAGCCTCAAAATCTTTAGCTTAACCAACTGTTCTTTCATTCTGATTTTCAAAGTATGCCATACTCACTTCTAGTACAGCATTAGTCATGCTTTATTCTAGTTAAGGACATGCATATATGCTGTTCCAACAGGATTTTAGAGCCTAAAAGCTCAGGCTCTGTATGACTTACCTTTGGATTCTTCACAGCATCTGATAGTTTCTGGTACAAATTACCTTGGTGATCATTAAACCTGCTTCTACCATATGAACTTTGTTTGGGGACAGTATGTTGGTACAGCATATTTTCCTTAATTTAAGGCTCACAACTCTGTTGGTAATGTCTTATCTAAATTTTATACAGAAATGCATATAATATGTGTGTATGTGTTTATAAGTTGGAAATTCAAAGGTATCATAATTTATAGCTAGCCATCAATGGTTTGTTAAATAAATCAATCTGCATTCAATAAATAGCATGTGCCCAGCAAACTTCTCATGTCACACAAATTATGTACATGTAATTAAACAAATATATATGTAATATATATGTATACGTGTGTGTGTGTATATATATCAGACAAAATATATATATATATTTAGAGACAAAGTCTTGTTCTGTTGCCCAGGCTACAGTGCCATGCATGGCATGATCACAGCTCACTGCAGCCTCAAACTCCTAGGCTCAAGCAATCCTCCTAGCTCAGCCTTCCAAGTACCTGGGACTATAGGCATGAGCCATCATGCCCACCTAATTTTGAAATTTTTTTTGTAGAGATGGAGTCTTACTATGTTGCCCAGGCTGGTCTCAAACTCCTGGCCTCAAGTTATCCTCCTAACTCAGCCTCCCAAAGTGCTGAGATTACAGGTGGGAGCTGCTACACCTAGCCATAAATTATATTTGATCATAAACAGAATCATAATAAATCTGATGCTTTTGTTAAAACATATTAATATTAACCTAAGACATACAGAAAGCATTTGAATGAATGAATAAATTAATGAATAACTGGGCAATTCTTAGGCGTTACACATATTCATATACATAATTTTTCCTTATAGATGTAATTTCCCATTTGTTATAATTTCTGCTCACTTTGATTTAAAATGGCTTTAAGCATTCATATGTGTAATTAAGCATAGTATTTTTGATCAGAGAAGAAAAAGGAGATGATCAAAAATTATTAGAAATATTCTTTATAAATTTTAAATTACATATTCTAAATTCTTATAGAAATATTCCTTATGAATTAAATATTCTTTATAAGTATTCTTTATAAATATATATTCTCTATAATTTATATAAATATTCTTTATAAATTTTATGATAGATCTGGGTTCAAACCTTGGATCAGTCACTTACTTGTTGGTGGTCTTGGCAAAAAATACCTAATCTTGAACTTGTAAAATAAGGTTTACGTCTAACTTATTGTGAAGATTAAATAAAATAAAGGATGTAAAGTTGTAGGCAGAATGATATCACACTGGAGGCACATGATTTAGGTTTTTTAAGGCTATTACATCTCCTCTGTCAAATTCCAGGATTGGGCTTAAGCATCTTTAGTCCCAGAAAAGATTGGTGAGGAGGTTCACTTGAGCTCTGGGTAGGGCAAAGGGGTCTTACTTTCTGGTCAATGGAGGTATCCAAGCTTATGTTATAGCCCAGAGAGGTAGACATCAGAACAAAACAAACTGTGATGAGAATCAAAGCAGCCAAGAGGTGTGAGTGCTTTCTCCCTCTGTATCAGCCAGAGCCAAGTGGCTCGTTGTTTACTCATATAGATTCACCTTTTTCGAGCCTGAAAAGAACACTTAGTCATTCTCGATTTTTAAATGAGAAAACTGAGGCTCAGTGGCAAAATAACTTTGCCTGGGGTTCCACAGCTGTTTGGAGGCAGGTCTGGAATGGAGTCCAGCTTTCCTGATACTTGCTCCATTATTTTTACTGCTAAGCCTCTCCTCGCTTACTTGGATAAAAGAAGGTAATATCAGCTTGGACACCGAATATCAAACCCTTGATCAGCTACCTAGGGCTCCACAAATCTTTCAGAGAATATATACCAAAGAACACTCAAGGAAAACACATGCTCTTGATTTCTAGTTGGGGTTTCCCATCTCCTTCCTTGCCCTAGTGTTCCTGGCTGGATTTTGTGTGAGTCTCAGGGATTCTCACTCTCCCTTGGGATAAATTCCTGGATAACAATCAAACCAAGCGGTCTGCTTCCTGCTTACTCCTCATGGGTCTCCTTGGAGCATGTTTGGCCTTCCAAGGTCATTAGGCATTCCCAAGCAAGAGGCAGCCTCATGGCCATCTCACTGACCAGTCTCAAAGATGAGGAGGTCCCAGATATTAATAATAGCCATTAAGAACGGTAGTTTTATCATCATATCAGTGCCTACTACGCAAACAACAATATGCTGGGTGATTTACATATGCTATTTCCTTTAGTCTCCACATATCCTATAGAGTGGGACTTATTATCTTCATTTTATAGATTTACAGATGTGGAAGCTGAGGTCAAGTGATATACCTAAGGTTTTACAATTAAGTGGTAGGACTGAGTTTCAAATCCAGATTCCATGCGCTCAAGAGTTATGATACTACCCTTCTCACTGACAGAGATCAGAGTGTCTGCTCTATTTAAGGGCCCTTCATAACAAGTTCCCTCCTTTTACTAAAAGCTACATGTTCTACTAAGACAGCCTAATTTTGCCTCATTAAAGATATGTCTTTTTTCTCACACACATCAGAACTTCTCTTCCGTGTGGAAGAGACTAGATGGGGCAGGGGAAGACTGGTATTTCTCCCTGGGGTTAGAGTGTACCCTTTATGGTGAGGATAATTTAAATACTCTTGATTAAGAAAGGACTCTACCTCCATCTGGAGATCCAGGTTCTTCTGGAAGGTCCAGAAGTGCCTGTTAAAAAATCATCATTTTATTTTTTATACATTGTATAGAGTAAAATAGTTTTTCTATTTCTTTTAAAATGGATTATCAGGGGAAACAGGTCAAAGAAATGTATACATAAATTCTATATCCTCTAAGTGTATGTCTACAGATGTGTGTATGAATATGTATGCATATATTCTTCTACTCACTAAAATACTTGTGTTATTTTGCTTCAATAAAGCCAGTATTTTTTAATTTCATTGATATCTGTTAGTGCCAGTTAACTGCCAGTGAATAAGCAGGGCTCTGTGAGTTTTGGGTGGAATGAGATGTCCCTGCTCTCAAGGAGCTACAGCCTAGAAAAGGAGACAGGTCCTTAAAACTCAGGAATCCATATACACTCAAATTATTTACCAAAAGAAATGAGTTTTCATATATAATTATAATTTTTGTTTTTAATTCTAAGAAATAAGTTACCTTATGATTAGAGGTCAATGATATTCAATGTATTAAATTAAAACTGTAACAGACACATCACCATTTTCCTCAGCAGTTTATCTTACCTTCATCTTTTGGTGGTACTGCTAAAGAATTCTGCATTATGATGTACTGGACTTGAATAGTATCTTTCCTAAAAATAAGCAAGCACAAATAAGTATTAGAAAGTAATTGAGAGAGCATGTTAACGCATACTAAATATAGAAATTCTAAGCTGTTTTTTAAAGTTTGTTTTATAACTACACGAGTAATAAAAAATGCATTGAGTTATTAAGAATTGATGTTTTTATTTCTTCTCATTTTTCTACAAACAGGATTTTATTGGATGTACTAGAATGGGCCTGGAGACAGACGCAACAACACATCAGGGGCCTTACTCACATTTCTGCTCTCATGGGGTCATGTGTAAGTAGGCAAAGTTAAGATTCTCTGAAAATGTACTCTCTGATAATTGATTCATATACTTTAAGAACAAATAGCTAAAATGCTTAACAGTTTAAAGGTAATATAATTGCAATATAATTATTTGATGAAATATAACTCAGTCATTAAAATGCAACTGTGAAGATTACGTAGCAACATAAAAAAGGTTAATGATGCGATGCACTGGATGAACATGCTAAATGACAGACACCAGCATTACAAATATACAAAAAATAAAGGCACAGGAAAACACATGGAAGAAAATATGTCAATATATAAATTTACAGTGTGTTTGGTGATGGAATTACAGGTGTTCTCCCCCATTCCCCACATTTTAGCTATTTTCCAAATTGTGAGTAATGTAGTATTCCATATTAATAAAATATCTGAATAAGGCAACTCAAATCTTTGAAAAATATAAGTAATTTTTTTTATAAGTTCTTAAACAAAAAAGTGTTTCTAAGCATGACACCAAGTACAGAGCCCATTAAGGTAAAGACTGATGAATTTTTCGGTTTAAAATTTTAAATATTTTTAAAGTAAGAAAATTGGACAAAATTAAAAGGCATGATTACTACTTCTAGCCAAGATGGAGTAACAGAGACCAGATTCATGCTTCTGCCTGAAACAACCAAAACACAGACAGAATATATGAAACAATGTTTTCAAAACAGTGAACATCAGTGACAGAAGCAGGAGGCAGAGAAATTCTTGGCAGACAGGGGCGGGTCCCCCGTGAAACGGCACCTTCAAGACAAAGTAGCCCGAAACCTGCGGCCCAAGGTGAGAACGTCTATCCCTGTTTGCCTGTTCCCTCCTGATTGGTTCTTTCTGAATAATGTCTTTTCACCAATCAAATGTTGCCTTTTCCAAAACTCCCCATGGCTTGCCCTGCCCCCCATTCTGTGCCTATAAAGACCCTGGACTCAGTCAGTAGAGGAGAGAAGCAGCTTGACTGAAGAGAAGCAACTTGACTTCAGAGGGACGGCTGCACTTCAGAGAAGAGACAGCTTAATTTTGGAGAGACGGTTTGACTTCAGGGAAGACTACCTGACCGTCCCGTCCTTTCCAGCTCCTCTCTCCACTGAGAGCCATCCATCGCTAAATAAAATTATCTGCCTCCACCATCCTTCAAGTGTTGGCACGACATCATTCTTCTTGGACACCACACAAGAGCTTGGGACCCACTGGATGCAGGAACCCAAAAAAGGCTGTCACACTAGCCCTTGCTGGCGGAGTAGAGACGCCCCACCTGACAAGACAAGGGGCCCACTGAGCTGGTAACACACTGCGGTCCACAAATGGCAAAACTAAGCTAAGAGAGCACTGCAGCATGCCCTCTGGGATTTCGGGGATCACAGGCACTCCCACCTGGGCACCGCCGCAAGGTGTGCATGGAGCGTGCTCCTGCCGGCACCCAAAGCAACCAGCCTGATGCTGCTCTCATTTGCTCACGAGCTCCCTCCTGCAAGGGGTTGAGTGTGGCGGGCTGAGTAAACAGGGAATCCCCATTGCAAACCTGACAAAGGGGTCAAGAAAAATCCTGCATCATCATGTCAAGAAAAACTGATCCCTGAGAGCCAGTAAACAATTGCAATGAGCCCTATGGCAACAACTGTGATGAGCTCTATGTGAGGAAAGATCCTTGCAGAGATTTCCAGAATACTGGAAAAGAGGGCTACACACAGAGCACAACAGAGAGGGTCCTTACTGGGTTATTTACCTTCGTAATGATCAACACAGGCAAGTGAGGAAACACCCCAAGACTAGGGAAAGGTTCAAGGTACACTACAGTCACAGAGGAACAGGAATATTGCCTGTTGCCATTAGCTAGGGTGAAAAAACTCACAATTCACAAAGGAATGGGTAGAGTACACAGAAGGGTCTTGCCTTAGTAGGGGGGAATACTTAATTCTAGACTGTGTATTTCTCTGGTTTCACATAAATCTTAAATCAAGACATGAAAAAATCAAACTGTTTCAAATTATTTTAACCATGTACCAGAACAAATCACAAAATATTTATAGAAATACAAAAATATCTACCACCAAATAAAGTAAAATTCATAATGACTGACATTTAATGAAAATTATCAAGCATGCAGAAATGCAGAAAAATATGATCCATAATTTAGAAAACAATCAAAACTGACCAGGACTGACACATATTAGAATTAGCAGACAAGGACATTAAGTGTATAACTGTATTTCATACGCTCAAAATGTTAAGTACAGGTAGAAAAGATATGAAAAAATTCACATAAAATTTCTAGAGATAAAAACTATAACGTATAAGATGAAAAATATAGTGCATGAAATTAATGGTACATTAGACATGTCAGAAGAAAATATTAGCAAATCTGAAGACACAGCTATCGAGACTACACAGAATGGAGAAGACAGTAAAATTAAAAAAACAAAAAATAAAAATCAGAATTGAGAGCATCAGTGAGCTGCAGGCCAACTTTAAGAAGATTAATATGCCAGTATTTGAAGAGGGGAGAGATGGAAGGGCAAAAAAATTATTTTTAAGAAAGAATGGCAGAATATTTTCCAAATTTGATGAAGCTGTGAACACACAGATCCAAACATCTCAAAACACCGATTCACAAGAAACATGAAACCATACTAAGGTATATATCATTGCCAAACTGCTCAAAACTAGTGAAAAAAAAAGTTTTTAAAGGCACCTAGAGAAAAAGACACATTGCATATAAAGGAACAATGATAAGGATAACAACAGATTTTTTACTATTAATAAAATGATGCAAGTCTGGCCAGGCGCGGAGGCTCATGCCTGTAATCCCAGCACTTTGGGAGACCGAGGTGGCACAGCACCTCAGGTCAGGTGAGACCAGCCTGACCAACATGGAGAAACCCCTGTCTCTACTAAAAATACAAAAATTAGCTGGGCATGGTGGTGCATGCCTGTAATTCCAGTTACTCGGGAGGCTGAGGCAGGAGAATCGCTTGAACTCAGGAGGCGGAGGCTGCGGTGAGCCGAGATCGTGCCATAAAAAAAAAAAAAAAAAAAGAAAGAAAGAAAGAAAGAAAAAAAAAGAAAACAAACAAAAACAAAAACAGTGCAAGTCTGAAGACAATAAACAATAAGAACAACTGTAATCTAAAATTCTTAGAACTCCAGGCCCTGATGTCTTCTCTAGTGACTTCTACTGAATATTTAAGGAAGAAATAATACCAATTATATATAAATCCTTCCAGAAAATTGAAAAGGAGGAAATGTTACTATCTAAAAAGTCAGCATTATCTAGATATCAAAACCAGACAAATCTATTAAGAGAAAAGATTCCTATGGCCCAATATCCCTCATAAGCACATATGCAAAAGTAATAAACAAACTTCTAGCAAATCAAATCCAACAATATGAGAATACATCGTGATCAAGTAGAGTTATCCAGGAATAGACAATTGGTTTAACATTCAAAATAAATGTAATTTACCATCTTATTATGTTAAAAAAGAAAACTACACGATTATTTAAACAGATACAAAAATTGCATGTGATAAAATCCAACATCCATTACTGATAAAAAAAAATCCTTTATAAATTTAGAAAGGAACTCCTCACTATGGTGAAACACATCTATTAATATGAGAAACTAAAGCTAAAATCATGCTAAATAATGAAAGACTAAATGCTTTCCCTCTAAGTTCACAAACAAGAGAAGGATATCTATTCTCACCACTTCTATTCAGCCCTGTATTGGAAGTTCTAGCCAGTGCAATAAAACAAAAATAAATAAAATGTATTCAGATTGTGAAGCAAGACTTAAAATGGTCTTTATTTGCAGATGACATGATTGTCTAATTAGAAAATTCAATAGAATCTACAAACAAAGCCCTTCTAACTAATAACTGAGTTTAGCAAGGTTACATAATACAAGATCAATATGCAAAAATAAATTATATTTTTGTATCCTAGAAATAATCAGCAATTGAGACAAAAAATCAGAAATTGAGACACCATTTATAACAGCATAAAAAATGAAATAATTAAGGATAAGACTGGCAAAGTATGCGAAAGACCTATACACTGAAAACTAAAAAATACTCATAGAAATTTTAAAAGATCTAAACAAATGAAGAGATATACCACATTCAAAGGTTGGAAGACTCAATGTTGTTAAAATGACAATTTTCTTCAAATAGATATATAGATTCAATGTAATCCTAATCAAAATCCCAGTAGACTTTTTGTAGAAATTAACCAATTTTTAAAATTCACATGAAAATAGAAAGAGCTCAGAATAATCAAAACTTCCTTAAAAAAGAAGAAACAAATTGGACTGATGCTACTTTAGTTTCAAGAAAGAGACATATAGATCAATGCAACAGAATAGAGAGTCCATAAATAAATCCACATAGATATGTATTTTCATGAAAGTCCAAAGGGAAAGCTGTGGAACATGAATAGTCCCTTCAACAAATGATGATGCTTTCTCTACATGCGAAAAACAAAAAAAGAACTTTGAGCCATACCTCACACCATATACAAAATTTGAAATGCATCATATACCCAAATGTAAAACACAAAACTTCTAAAAGAAAATACTGTGCCCTTTAGTCAGGCATAGGTATCTTAGACATAGCATCTGAAACATAATCCATAAAATAACAAACTAATGTGCTAAACTTCATCAAAATTGCAAACTTCTGCTCTTCAAAAGATACCAATAAGAGAATGAAAAGA